AAGCACCCTCGAGGCAGTTACACAGTGCTTAAAACTGTCTCAGGAAGTGCAAGCACCAGAAAATTTATTCATACGCAGCTGTCATCCGTACGCAAGGAAATAAGCACAAGATGCCGAACACCCTTAGCAGGATGCAGCGCACCCTTCATGCGACTCGCCGAATATCTCACGGCGCTTCGCGCTTGGTGATGTGAGAGCCTGGTCCGGTGAGAACCCGGCGTGCTCCGTCCCGGCTTTGTAGGGATGCGAGGTCAATGGTCTAACGACTACGGCATGCACGTCTTCTCGTGGTGCAGGGCCCACAGAAGCTTCAGGAGCAGGATCCCGACCTCGTCCGGAGGACCCGGCATGCAGAAGTGCGGGTCGTTTTCTACCGTTCGCTCCACCACCTTCCTCGTCAGACTGTGGAGGCCCTGGACTATGTCGAACACGCGGACGAACTTTGCGCCGGACTCCCAAAAGTCGGTCTCCCTCTGCCGGGAGTTCCAGCGCTGAGGGTCCCCTTTCCCCTCGTACGTGCTGAGCCAGAAGAAGGGCACCTGCGAACGATGGGGCAAAGAAGGCCAGCGTTGGAGGGGCGGAAAGGAGGGGCGCAACCGCAAAAAAACAAACTGGCTCGGAGGAGCGCTGCGTCGAAGAATACAAGTAGGCCAAATTTAACTAACATTGAAACTTGCGAACGTGGTCATACCAACAAGTGTTCAATGATGGAGCCAAAGACGAACCTTGTAGCATAGAATAGCTATTTGATTTACCTCACCGAGGAATAAGAATAAGAGAGCCTAGGGCTAAGCAATAGGATATCTGGGTTGGGCTGTTGTGTTCTGAACAGCGGGGGAAAAAGTGCAAACAAACCACAACAGGATTGTCTCGACATGGCCAACGCACGCATGTTCATGTTGTGCCACTCGACATCGCGCTTGCCGCACGTGATTTGACCGCCGCCGTAGGTGCTCGACTATCCCGGTGGTAAGGTAACGACGGCACACGTCCAGCTCGAGGTGTTCGAGAGGAGTCGGCGGGAAGTTGGGCGTACCAATTGCACAACATTGAACCAACTTGGCCACTAGTTTGCTCCACCGGGGCGTACGTAAGACGTACGGAGGTGGTGTTCGAGGGGCTCAGGTGGCGACCCCTGCCAGCTGGGGTATTGAGAAATCACTCTAACATAAGCAATGAAATACACCGCGGGTTGTGGTTCCCGCGGACCAGAACAGGCTCGAGAATGACAACATAAAATTCATCAGACCATGTCGTACCTGGCTTGAACGTGACAACTCACGGACTTGGAGGCGCGCAGTCCAAAACGCTAGCATTACGCCCCGGTCCAGCTTCTACAGCCTGGATCCTTGAACGTAGTGCCAAATTGCCGCGAACTACTGTAAGACTACAACAAAAACTAACGATCCGAGAAGCCGACACTACCGCCACCATTTTTCGACATCCTTACATATCCAAATTACGCTTCACAGAAGCGGACACGAGTCAGTGCAGAGAACACCTACCCCGGCGGCCTGAAGCTCAACCGCGGCGTCCAGCACCGCGTCCGCCTCGACACTCGGCTTGTTCCCCGGGTTCGCGAAGACCGCGGTGTAGTAGGAAAGGTCTTCTTTGTGGTGCGGCGCCAGGGCGTCCGTAATGCGCTTGTCTTCGTCGTGGTTGGCGAAGTAGAAGTGCACGACGGCCCCGTTGGAGAAGAAAAACTCGCCGTGGTCGTCGTCGCACCTGAGGGTTTCCACAACCGAGCGGTACAAACCCGACCAGACCACAAAACCCAAGTTGGACACAACCCATGGTAGCATCGTGGGTAGGTCAAAGCAGAATTTGAAAGCTTACTATTGAACAAGGGCTGCAAATTTAACTTACGTTCGTTCAAAATCGAACAAAATAGAAGGACTAACGCACACGTACAAACATAAAATATTCTCACAAGTACAACATGTCCAAAAAAACAAATAATAAAAAGTGTTTTTTTGGTTGAGCGCTTGTAATAGCTTCAGCCATACCCCCGCCGAATGCGAAACACCCGCTCACGCTACTCAAGAGTTCTTGGAGAAAGTCGAAGCCTTGCAGCGTCATCTCGTGGCCATCGCCGCAGATACACCCAGTTGAAAGCGACAACCAAGACAGCCAAACACCAACTACCTTTGCAAGAGTCCAACGATGCGCGATGACAAATGCATGCCAGGGACCACAAAGCACCAACATCCTTTTGCAAGAGTCAAACAATGACGTGACTAACCATTGCATACAACGCACAGCAGACCCCAGCCACCCACCCTCCGCATGAACAAAAGCAATGTGCGGTGACCACTGCATGCGAAGGACGACAAAGCATCAACAACCTAGGAAATAGTCCCAACCGCATGCGGCGAAGAACGGTTGAACGCGAAGGCCGAATCTACCACCAAACGTATTACCAGAACAGACAAATGCGGCGAAGAAGCCTTGCACCACTAAAACCCCCGGAATGAAGGGTCGCCGCTGCTGCTACGTTGCTCCTTCACTACTGCGGGCGTCGTCGATACCACCGCCACTAGCGGAACCCGGCCTTTTTCTCCCGTTGAGCTGTAATCGCATTGCCTACCACCAACAACGACCCATCCCTCCTGAGAAAACGCTCGACTGGCTCCGCGAAACCACTGCAGAGAAAGGCAGGGCGACAACAACCGTACCACCTCCTTCGCACGGACAGAATGTGTCTCCAACCCATCTTCCTTGAGAGCCCCACACCTACAGTACTGTAAGCGCGACGTACGGCTACCACGCTCCCTGGACCAAGTTCCAAAACCCGAATTATCTACAGGACACACATTGGCGGTGCCCAAAAATGGTGGCGTGGAAACCCTCCCATCGAGAGCTTCCCAAACAAGGCATCGTCTGACTTGAAAACAAACGTCCTCCTTGTCGTGGAGTTCTCGAGCTTTTAGATATCGGTCCAGGGGGCGCGGGCGGTATCAGATGTGTCACCTACGGTACTACCCACCCACCTGCACGCCTCGTCGCCATCATCGTCACCACCACCCCCCCCGATACAACCCGAGTTCAGCAGGGTGTCCTTGAAAAAGGTCCAGACGGAGCAGGCGCGGCACGGAGTGTCGCCAGGCACCTCGAGGTAGGCCGTCTCGTTGGCGTTGGTGGCGGACACGAACCGCAACCTCTTCGACACCACGTCCTTCTGGAAAAGGCACAGAATTGCCTCGAGTGTCTTCGGGAGCATCGGCGGCGATTTTGGAGATGTCGGAGATTAGGGGAGATCAAGACCGCCAACGAACAGGGTGTTAGTTGCAGCTTCTTCGACGAATGCGTCGTTCTAGACAAAGGCACACGATTGCCACGACCGCGCCTTCGGGGGTAGAGCCAGCAGCGGCAGAGATTTCGGAGATTGCCGTAGGCGTGGGGAGCGGAAGACAAGGCTGCCAAAGAGCAAAGGACTTTGGGGCACATGGTAAATGGGATCCAACCGCAACTTCTTCGACGCCACGCCCTTCTGGAACAGGCACAGTACAACTCTTGAACGCGGTCAGGAGAGCAGTCAACGGCGGAGATTTCGGAGATCGACGCAGGCGCGGGGCGCGGAAGATCAAGACCACCGAAGAACAAAGGGTTTGGGGGGAACATGCGGTAAATGGGGTCGAACCACCACTTCTTCGGCGTGTAAGTCGTTCTGGAAAAAGGCACAGAAAGTAAAGCCCCGACCGATTGCGGAAGCAGCAGGGAAAACTGCAGGCGCGGGCCCTCGAGGATCGAAGATTGCGAAGATCACACACGGTTAGGGGTTCGTGTCATGGATGGGGGACCGTGAAGAAATTGCTCGCCACCAGAGTAAGAGATTAGGGATCCTTGTCATGGATGGGGTGGAGAAGAACAACGCCTCGGCAAAAGAACAAATCGCTGTCATAGATGGGGTCAAGGGTCGTGGACCGTGCGATGACGATCTGCTTACTTATATCGTGACGTCAACAATCACTCCGCACAAGACAGCAATCAACGCAGGGCACACAAGCACAAGCAACGAGGAAGAGTAGGAGCGAACGCTCTGATTCCAAAACGAATCTTGAGCTCCGACGAAGCATGCTTTATCGGGTGACTCTTCGCCTGATTACGGCCAGCCCCGTGACAACGTGCGGAGAGATTCTCGCGTTTCATGGAAAAGGGGGTCAACAGACAGGGCTAAAGTTTCCGTGCGATCAGCCCAGATATTCAGAAAGTATACGCACAATCACAGAAAGAAAGACTACTGTACCCGTTCGAGATAATAAAACAAACAAGGCGATGAATATCATTGATACGGCAGCGGGGGTGTTTATGAATAGCCGTCCATGCCGCAATGGTTGGATCATTGACCTCGCATCACAAAAGCCGGGGCGGAGCACGCCGGGTTCTCACCGGACCAGGCTCTCACATCAACAAGCGCGAAGCGCCGTGAGGTATCCGGCGAGTCGCATGAAGGGCGCGCTGCATCCTGCTAAGGGTGTTCGGCATCTTGTGCTCACTTCCTTGCGTGCGGATGACAGCTGCGTATGACATAGTATATTTTCTGGTGCTTTCACTTCCAAAGACAGTTGTTAGCACTGTGTACCTGCCTCGAGGATGCGTGACCATTTCAACACAACTTGGTGCGATCATCCCCCTTGCGCGGAGTGAGGGTTCACAACCCCGCTTAACATGATCTACTCGACCACCATTGTGGTTACCGCAAAAAAAAAAACATAGATAAAAGATTAAAAACGGTAACCTGGTTGCCGAGTTCACGAAGTGAATTGGCTTGTTTTACAGCGTCGCTACCAAGCAACGAAAACCCAATCCCGATGGCAAACACCGAGGGGGGGCTTGTTCTACAACGTCGTCGCCAAGCGACGAAAACCCAACCCCGATGGCAAACACCGAGGGGGGGCTTGTTCTACAACGTCGTCGCCAAGCGACGAAAACCCAACCCCGATGGCAAACACCGAGGGGGGGCTTGTTCTACAACGTCGTCGCCAAGCGACGAAAACCCAACCCCGATGGCAAACACCGGGGGGGGCGGGGCGGGGGATATTATGTCATTCTGTCTTCAAACATCAAAAACCGAGTCAACCAATAGCACGCTTCACCTGCCGCATGTGGGAGTTCCCGTAGAACAAGACCTTCGAGTCAGGCGGAAACGGCGCGCCCCTAGACGACATTTCTTCCCGCGTGGCGCTCCTGCAGTCACCCCTAGTGACCGCACGCGGCACCCACCTGGGGTACACGCCGCTTCCCAAGTTTGGACAAAAATACCTGCGTGGGTGCAGGTCGCACACGCCAAGGAGAGCATTGGCTTGCCGACGACGGTATGTATGGTTTCTAAATGTTGGACCCAGGCAAAGGTGTGTAATCGTGAGAATCGATGCATGTCGCACCCAAGAAGAATGCAGCTCTGCGATAAGGGTATGCATGGTTTCGAAGTGTTGGACAGGTTAATGTGGACTATCGTGGGAGTTGTCCGGTGTGGGTTCGGAGAAAAACGAAACGGGTCGTCTTGACACTGTTCGACGTTCGTTGTGTCGGCTGGGCTTCGTCAGGTCACAGCAAAATAAACAATCTGGCACGCGTAGGGTGTCACACAAGGACCAAACGAGAAGAGGAGCAGAGATGAAAACAATTCGTTTCTTCGCCCTCACCGCAAAATATCGCGGTCGCGTGCGTCTGTCGGTATATTCCATGCAGAAATAGAATCGCGTTTTCCCCCCGAATCACGTTCGTCATTTTCTTCGCGAGGTTACTAGCGAAAAGTGACGAGATAGGTTTTAGTGTTCGTTGCTTGACAGAGCACGTGACTAACGCTACGGTTGAGGCCACAAGTTTCTCCCTTTTTACAATGCCGGCAGTTCTTATCTGCCCCGAAGCGGTGGCGTTTTACTGCGGGCTTTCGTTCCGGAGCCTCGCGATGCGAAAGAAGTCGAAGAAAACAGAATCGCTTTTTCCTGCGGGCATCTTGGGGGGGTGTGCTACAGCGCGTGACAGAGGAGCCCCACACCCTGAACCGATTTTCAAACCGCGGCAACACTCCACAGAGGATGAGCATTGTGCATTTTCTGGAAGCTCCAGGCGAGAAGGTTCCGACGCTGCCATTTTCGGCACCGCCGCTCTTTCTGCCGAGGAGTATTCGAGCTCTAGACGTCGGTCCAGGAGGTGTACGATCATACGCGACGCACGTACGTTAGTCGCGCATATTAGGCCTCTGCAGTAGTAGGACATGATGAAAATAGGTGAAGTTCTCACTTCGTAGCCGTACACGGGTGCCTGCTGCAGTGGTTGAAGGCAGAATGCCCACCCAAAGTAGTTCCCTCCCCTAACCCTCCGCTCCAGGACTTCCAGTTGCAGAAAAACATGTTTTACCCTTCCCACCCCAAAACATGTCCTATCCTCACCGTCCCTTCAAGGACACGCAGTCGGAGTAGAAAATGACACAACTTCCACCCGAATCATGTCCCCATCCTCACCCTCCCTGCAAGGACTCGTGGTTGCGGTAATGATGTATTGAAATTCACACCCAAAAACATGTCTCTATCCTCACCTTCTCCTCTAGGGACGGTAGTCGCAGCAAAAACATGTCAAAACTATTCCACCCAAAACAGTAGAAGTGTGTCCCGGTCCTCACCTTGCTTTCGAAAACGCACAGTCGCATCCGTACGGAGGCTTCCACACTCCTCCTTGCCCTTGCGACCACTCCGACGACAGTGCGCTGTGCGGCGATTTCTTCAGCGGCAGCAGCTCGTCCACGGTGCAGTATCGGATACCGTCGACGTCGTCGCCGCCGCCGCCGCTATTGCTGCTGCTGCTGCTGCTGCTGCTGCTGCTTCTGCTATTGTTGTTGCTGCTGCTGCGGCTGATGTCTTGGAAGGGGTTTTGCTTCGATGTCCCACCGCCGCCGTCGGCGGCAGGAGTCTCCGCGCCTTCTTGTTCTAATCCTGCGCGCGACGGCGGTACTCCGGGTTGTCAAAAATAGAGAAAAAGGCTTCCGACGTTGGTAGGACAGATCAGACCCCTACAGACCGAGCTAGCTCTTTCGAAGATGGCATGACTCATGTGATCGGTTACTGCAGGACATTCGTGAAATTATTATCTGGAGGATATAGGTGAGCTAGCTCATGATCCGTCGTATGTGCGGAAGGTTTAGGCACAGCGTCCAAACGAGATATGGTTCACGGCAGGGTACACGGGGCACCTCCGGTGTTCTAAATATTGGTAGGCATGGTTGTATAGCGCCGGATCCGGGGGGGGGGGATCGGGGGGGGGTCCACAAGCGCGTAACGGTCCGATAGCGCCACTGTCCGTCAGATGAAGGAGTGCCCTAGAATGACGGAATGCACCAGTAGACAAGGAAAGCGGCAGTAGACAGTACCTCAAACTCTCGTCAAGGTTTGTTTTGTTTTTTTGTTTGTCTTCACATTAAACCGTATGTCAGTTGCTAAATGCCAAAATCTAGCAAAAGACTCTCAGCCCGTGGTCACGAAAGTGCTAGAGCCATCTGAGGATCTAAAGAACACGCACACATCTGACGAGAAAAAGGTATGCAAGAGCCCGAAGAGGTACACCTAAAAATCCCTGCAGCACCGTATGCGTGCCCAAAAACTGAACTGCACGTCCGTCCCACCGTTCGACTACAGTA